GGGGTAACCCTGCGATGGACTAGTATCCCATCCAGGGGGGAGTAGAAATACTCCTAGTCGCTTCATGCTACTGAAACTGAGATAAGCTCCGGCCTGATGGGCCAATTGGCTCGTATGCAGACTTTACCTACCTAGATGGGATGCTAGTCTATCGCGGGTCAACCCTGGCATTAAGTTCGCCAGTACCCATTCATACACCTGGGTGGAGAGAGGCACTGTGAGAGAAAAGTGTCTTACCTAAGATCACAACACAAGGGCTTGAACCCAGACTGCTCGATCCGAAGACGAGCATGCTAACCATGAGGCCACCATGCCTCCCAATGGCCATAATGGCCTTGATGTCCATGTATACTCCCATTTTGATTTGTTTTGTGTTTTTTTGTTCGTTTGTTTGTTTGTTTGTTTGTTTGTTTTGTTGATCCCTAGTAAAGAATTTTGATATTGAAATTTGAGAAAAGTCTGATGACTACAATTTCTCCCTTGCCAATGTTGTTACTCTACATTGGTTGGTTCAAGAAAACATCCAGAACCAACCACAAGGGGAATCTTCATCTACGCCAGCCCCGCCCCTCCTATGCAAACATGGAACGGGGCATTGGGGTCAGACAGTACACAAGATCTGCATAATTTATAAAATACATGTTCATGTAAGACGACATAAACTTGAAAATTGATATGTTGAGCAAACCTGTGTTAATCGTCTCTAATTTTGCCCATTCATGACACCTTTAATTCTCGACTGCTCATTCGCAGGAAAGGTCAAATCACCTTAGACCGGGTGAGCAAGCCCCTTTAAGCTAACTATAAGTATGTGTGATCCTCTACCTGGAAATTTTCTTCATCGATCTTGCATTTTTTTAAATAGTTTTTGTTTACACCCATTACTTACTTTGTCATCCCGACACCGACAATGAACACTTGTTCAGAGGTCTTCCTTATGTCCGCCATCTTGGATTCGTATTAGTATAACTAAATGTATGACGAAAAATCTTCACCTAAAAATATTATCAGAAAGCTGGGATTGCAGCACCATAGTGTTTGTATGAGCGACGTGGGGAAACGGCTGAAATCTCTGAAAATCAGGCTATCAAGATAAACTAAGACCGATACTAAGACCAATATTCTGCAAGAGGCTAAACTTCGAATTTCCTGTCATGTATGACAAAACCATTAGTCTCCAACGTCAAGTAGCGGAGCACCAATTGTCCCGCACGTTAATTTTCGCGCTAATTTTCTTGTGTTTATAGCAGGTTTCTAGTAAACATAAAGTGACCGTTTCTTACATTTCTTTTAGAAAGATAAAGCCAAAACATTGGAATGATTCATCATCATCGAATTTTTGAGCATAGCCTTGTACAAAATGACTGCAAAACCGATCAAAAGTCCGTATATGACGTCATCTTATCCCTCTAAACCAGATGGCAACTGATGGCAAGTCATTTAGCAACAATCCCGGTGTAAACCGCGGGCTCATTGAGGCAAATTAAGGGCTGCTTACCGTTTGTAAAAATTTACCGGAAATTCCGGTTGGCAGTGTAAACCTCAACCAAAATGCCGGGATCTTCGGCCAAGAAACTCCGTGAAATAAAATCATTTTGCCGGCCGAACTAGAACTTGCAACCGTAATTTGTGTGTATACTAATAAAATAACTAAGCTTGTTTCAATTTTTTAGTGACGCTGAATGCAGCAACATTTTATGTTGCGCCTATGAATTTTTTAAACTTTTTGTTTGTTTGCATCAGTCACTACTTCCATTCTGTTTGCTGTTTGCAAATGAAAAAAGTTATCCGCGTTCTTTAATTTTTAATAAGGTTTTGAACAGGCGTCAATATTCTAAGTAAGTTCATTTCACCTGAACGGGTCAAACCGGCCAAACAATCATTTTAATTAATGAACAACGCCCGGTCGCTTGGACTTTCAGTTAGACGCAAATATCACTATAAACAGCAAATTCATGGTTTTCATTTGGATAATCTCTGGTTGGATTTAACGACAAATTCGAACTGATGGAGCACAACGATTTGGTGCTAAGAAAGATAAGTAAGTAACGTTAAAATAATAGATATAAAAAGAGTTTTGAAAAATGAATGTTAGCCAATCTAACTATTTCATGCTTTAATATATGTCAAAACTACGTTCTGTTTCTTGTTAGTCTTATATTTTTTTAGGTACTGTGGCTATGAAACAATACATGAATTTCTAGGGCTATTCTTCAAGCGAAAATTGTTTAGCAGAAAATTGAACGATTTCCGCCTCACGGCTTTAAATTTCTTACTTATGTTATCAGTCCGGCGTCGACTTTAAACTTCTAATATCGTCCTGTGACACTAAAGCGAATGGTCGCGCAATTAATGTCGCTTAATTAAAATCGGCTTATGACTTATCAAACAATTGAAAAATTAGTTAGAAATAGCCGAAATTTGCCACAAACACGCTAGTAGATAAAAAAAAAAATCGGTTATATATTTTCGTTCGACAGAAACCAAGATCTAGAATGTTCTTGACATACGCAACGTGTATTTATGACTTTTCGACATAAAACCCACTTTAGTGCTAACACCTGTCTCTCAAACAGAAAAGGACGATGTCAAACTGAGAGCTGTCATTTTCCTCCAATCAGGTAAGCCGCCTCAAGGTTGATAATAGTTGGAACCCTTATTCATGGTTTACGGTTTAGACCGTTTATTTTATGGTAGTTAAAAAATAAAAGACCAAAAAGTCTTCATTCACTAAGTTCTGCCAGCATCAAGCAAGAGCGATTTTTTTTTATCCTCCTGTAACCGAAATGAATAATTAATTAATTGAGTGTTTTATTTCTTTTAACAGCGTATCGCGGGTACTTGGCCCGTAAACGAGTTCAACAGATGAGAGAGAGGGGTTATGGCCAAGAAACTGCGGTTATATTCTTCCTGCAACAGGCCAGTTAGATATGACATACATTTCCTTGACTTGTTTGGTTTTGTTTTTGTTTTTGTTTTGTTTTGTTTTGTTTCTTGTTTTTCTTTTTTTTATTTTTCGTCTCCTTTTTTTTTCTTTTTTTTTTTTCAGACGGTTGTTTTGTTTTGGTTTGGTTTGGTTTGGTTTTTAGTCCTTTCTTTTTCTTTTTTCTTTTTTTCTTTTTTTTGTTTTGTTTTGTTCCTTGTTTGAATTCTCGGTGGGTCATAAAGTTCGAAGAGAAAATTCGAGTATCCTCCATTATGACTTTGACAACTATGAATCTCATACAATTAATATTACGGCGGTGTGTTTTTTTTTGTTTTTTTTTTTTTATTAGCATAATGAAATGTATAGTATAGCGTAATTTAGGCCCCAATCAACACTATACCACAATTTGAAAACGGTGTACATGTTTTCACTCTGAAACACAGCAAATGTTTTCCGTCCACACTACGCTGAAGAAATTTGAGAACGCATAAGAATCACCGCGATCATTTCGGAGTTGAGCTTGAGGAGAACTCTGGCAGGGAAATCACCCCGGGGGGGGGGGNTTTTTATAGGTGGAAAACTCGTCTGACCATATTTATAACTCTCAAAAGACTACAAGAAAGGTATTGAAAGGTACGTGAACATTAAGTCAATCCGTATTTTAAACGGCTTGAGGTCTTCGATCGATTTGCTTGGCACTCAATCCCCCGGCGGGGACCAGGAGCGGAGGGAGCGCTGGAGATGGGGGAGGGGGAAAGTTCACTATGAGGTGAATTTTGCCTGGTTGGTAATGCTCCGAAATTTCCACGTGATCTCAAAACCTTGATGCATTAGCATGAATTAACTGAACTCAGTTCACTTTCCCTTCCATTCAACAGCTTAAACGTCTTAATGAGCTTTCAAGAGGTTAGGAAAATGGAATTTCAGCCACTAAAGATCAAAGAAAAAGACTCGAGAGACTTTTGTGTATGGAACGTGGAGAAAACCAAGTGGACAGTGCCAAAGGGAAATTATATGCCGCGATGTCTTCTAGCCTGGAGTGATTTCCATAACAATATTAAGGGAATTTATGTAACATTTTGGGGCAACAGCCAACATAATTTAAGTTTAAATTAAAATAGTCGGAATTAAACTGAGTTGACTGCACCCTCACACGTATATTTACAAAGCATCTTACAGAGCTGTCATGATCTCGTAAACAAGTGGCATAATAGAACTGTTCACTGGATTAGTTCTTCTATTCAAATTTTTCCTCTCTCTGCAATTACAGTCTGTTGTGCGATTTCCTCTTTACCTGAGCAGACACAGGTTTTCAATCACCTAGTTATATTCTTTCCCTGCTCAATAGAGCAATCGCTGCTGACTTAATTGTTTACATTTTTTCCGTATTACTGATACGACATTTGCGCAGAGAAGACATTACGCTACATACAAATTGACTGCAAATATTCAACGATCTACAGTGTGCGAAGCTTAGTAATTGGTAAACTTTTTGCCTCTTTGCGTAATTAGCTTTCAAAAGCTGCAAAATTCACTGTTTGGCGAAAGCACTAATTATCTCGTAAATTCCTTGTGAAATAAAGTATTTAATGCATAGGGCTCAAATTCCTCGAAGCTGTTAATCGTGCTATGCCCTTTCAATATTCAGAACTGTTATTTTTGTAGCTTGATCAAAACGAACGCAAACATTGTAAACAAAGATTCCCCCAAAGGCATCTTAAACTCCACCCAAAAATACTGGTAACTGGATGACGTAGCTCTGTGAGAAGCCGGGCAGTTCCTCTGATTGGTTGTTACTTTAACGCGGAAACATCAAAACAACCAATCAGAAACGCTACACGTCTCCAAAGAGCTACGTTAACAGTATAGAAAGGGCCAACGTCTCTTAAGCGCGAGAAGAATAGAGCGTGGCCGGGTAGGATAAAGCGCGTCGGGACGCGTTCGGGACGAATGAAAGTAAAGGGAGGCGTCTGGTTAATCACCGCGCCAATCTACCCGTGTAGCCATAGATGTCCGGGAAGAAGTTGTTATAAAATTCACTATTATTCATCATCAACGTTTTCCTAGTCCTGTATCCTTCAGTTCCTCTGTTTCAAGGTTTCAGTCGAGGCCTTAGA